GAAAGGTACAAATTTCCAGTGATGAATGTTGTTATATTGTATACCTAAAATGTATCAATAAAATTAATAATTTATTTATCCTTGGGGTTTCTATATAAGAGAAACAATGTGATATTTAGGCTTGTGTGTCTAATGTAGTTTACTTAACATTATTTAAAATCAGTGCTGCAAGATTCCAGTATTTTTCTTTTTCTCTCCTTAGCTCAGGCAAGCTCATTTTTTCTGAATGTATGTGATGAAGCCAGGGGAGGGTCTTGGAGAGAGGTGTTTTGATCAGGCCCAGCAGGTTCTCTTCTAGCTGCTGGTTCCTCTAGTGTTTGTCACTGGGGGAAATAAGTAAGGAGGAGCCAAGCCCTCCTTCCTTGGCAGGGTAAAGCTGTGGGTATCTGTTGTCACTGCTTTCTCTGTCCTAGAGACCTGGGCTTTGTTGCAAATTGCGTCTTTTGGGCACAGTGGTCTTCCAAAGAACACATGGGATTCTTGGTAAGGTCAGCTTCTCATGGAAAAGTGGCCAGATTTGGGCAGCGGACCCTGGCCAAACCACTTACCATCAGCCAACAGCCAACAGCCTGTTGTTATAGTGATAGCTTCTTCCAGAAGGCATCCTGGCCCTGTCCAGATGTCTATTCCACTCTCACATCCTTGCCACTTTACATGGTGGGAACATCTTTGTGTCCATGGCATCTGCTTCCTCAGCCTGTCTGCCTCTTTGCTGACCCACGTGTGTCAGCAGCAATGAGCACTCAGCAGGTCTAAGCGATCCTTCATTTCTGACTCTGTGTTGGGGGAAGAAGAGTTCATGTACCACTTCTTCCACCCAGATTTCTGCAAATATTCATGGCAATTATCTTGGGATCCTCCTTCCTTATGTTGGAAGATGATGAGAGCTTATGAATACAGGAAGAATAACTTCTATCCACACAGACTGCACTTCCTTGAAAGCAGCTTTTTAGTCCCCCAATACTTCCCACCCCACTATCTAATAATAACTTGGAGGCTTATACTAGGAGGGGAATCAGAGGAAAGGTGGTTGGTTAGAGAACTAGTTCTTACACTGGTACCTCTCACTACACCCTGGGGAAGGGGTGGCTGGCCCACTTGCTAGTGTCCTGTTATGCATGCACTGATTTGGATAAGTCTTAGAGGCAGCAGCTCCCTGTCCTTTGGTCTACCTGAGTCCTGGACTCCTGCTATGGCCTCATGGGATGCTCAGTCTTCCTGAGTAATGCCTGGTACTCATAAAGCTCACTGATCCTCACCAGTTCCATGATAGCACTTGGTACATTTCTTCTTGCACTCACAAAATAAGTACCCAAACCTCTTCTTAACTCATACTCCAATAGTAAAAATAAGCAATGATCTAAGACAAAAGAAATGAATGAAATGTCTCCTGACAGCTCAGCTCCTCTTTTCATTTTCCCGAGGACTTTTACATGTATCCTAGCTCATCCCCTGATTAACAGCCAACTCTTTTGTTACACTGTCTATCGGAATATTCTGGGCTCATTTGATACCCCTTCCAACCCTGATGAAAGGAGATAATTGGATGTTCCTTGCTTAATTGGGTTTCCCATGTGTATATAAAAGACTTTTCTCTAAATAGATTCTCTTCAATTTCATGAATAGTAGTAGATTGTCCAAATCTCACTGTGTGAAATTACTCCATAATTAAATGTATAGAACCATCATTATTGCAAAAATCAAAATGCATGTGTTAATGCAAGGCCAATCTATGACAAATGGCAGGTAACTACTCAAGGCTTTGTGTTTTGGGAACCATGGAAAATACTGATGTCTAAGCAGCAATTCAGATACATCTATTGGAGGAAAAGAAACAGCTTAGTAATTAGTGGGTGTGAAAGGCATGAAAATCTTGAACACATAACCAATCTGTAATTTCTAATAGTATTTCAAGGGAAGGTGTAAAATAGTCCCTTCTCTAAAACACACCCTTAACCAGGTTAGTTCGTTACTTCTTCCACATCTCCCTATCCTCATAATATTTTTAACATTGTCCATGGTGATTTTACTACCAAGATTACATCTGTTTCAAATGTGGACACAGGAGAGAAAACAAATGAAGAGATATACTTGTTTGGAATTAACTTCAAAACTCCAAAATTATGGCAATGTTATATATGGGCTTCTCAATAAATATTTTTCAACTCTGATTTTACAGGCAACCCCCAATTATATTCTTACCTAAAGAACACACTGAAGGCTTAAGCTTTGATTTCATAGTTTATTCATCTTGATAACAATTTTAAATTTCTATAGATCATTGCATTGTACAGTGGTAATCTCTAACTTGGTCTTCTAGTGGCATAAAATAACAAATCTGCCTTTTCCTGATTAAGTGCATCAGTAATTCCCTGGAAGTGAGTTTACCCTTTATTCTTTTTTTTTGACAGTAGAATAATTACAATTTTATTATTTGATTCAATCAAACACCATCCACCCTGAAAAAGAGCCAATGATGGACACAATAATAACGTACCTTTTAGGCTTCCTTCAGATGAGGTATGGCATTATACCCTTTATATTACTTACATTCATAGGCTTTCAAGACAAAGGAATTTTTACAAGACACTGAAACTATTACAACTGATATCTTTCTTGTATTTTTCTCATTCACATGGCTTTGATCCAGTGTACATGCTTACACGTGGACCAACTAAAGAATTTTGCACATCTCTTCCACTAATGATGTTTTTCTCAATACTGTGTTCTTTCATCCTTGTGAATGGAACACACATGCTAGAGGCTTTCCCACTCTACCTTGACAGGAGGCCCTCCTCTAGGCATTCTTAGGTATGTTAAGGTGGATGGGAGATAAAGAGGCCTTCCACTTTCTGTATGTAGGGTTTCTGGTGAGCATGAATCCTTGCATGCTTTTGCAAGTAACCATAGCTCTTGAAGACTCTCTCACATTCCTCACATGCACAGTGTCTGTCCTCTTTATGAGTTTTTCCATGCCTTAGCATTTTGCCGTACTCTCAGAAAGCTTTCCCACATAGCTCACACACATAAGGTTTCTCTCCATTATGGTTTCTTTCATGTATTCGAAGAGTACTGGCACAAATGAAGGCTTTTGCACAATGCTTACATACAAAAGGTTTCTCTCCAGTGTGGATTATTTCATGTATTTCAGGGAAACTGGAACATCAGAAGGATTTCTCACATTGCTGGCATATATAGGGTTTTTCTCCAGTGTGAATTTGTGCATATCTTCAATAGGAGGTGGAACAAGCAAAGGTTTTCCCACACTGCACAAGTGTGTAAAATTTCTTTCCAGTGTGAGTTCTTTCATGATTTCGAAGGTCACAGGGCCACTTAAAAGCTTTATCACATCTTTCACATTCATGGGGCCTCTTCTGTACAGTCCTGATACTCAGATACCCTGTGTCCATGGTTATTATGTCTCTCAGAAATTATGAAAGACTACTGACCATTTCTCTACACAGGTGGCTTTTATGTCATTTTACCCTAAAAATTTTCTTGTTCACTCTATAATCTGGAATCTTGCTGAACATTTCTCCATGTTGTCTACTTTCTTTATGTTTAAAGAATTTCTTTAGCACTTGACATCTTAGACTTCTGTTGAGATTTTTGTACACATCTTCAATGGTCTGGTACTGCCATTTTTGACCTACAGAAGCCAGGTTCCAGAAGGTCTCCTGCATCACAGCTCTGTAGAGATTCTTCTGGGAAGGCTTCAGCAAAGCCCAATCCTCCTGGGTGAAGTTCACAGCCACATCCTCCAAGGTCACTGACTCCTGACTGGGGCTGTCACGAATGACCGGCCACTGCATCTGTCAACTGGGAAATCCCAAGGTTTCGGGACTTCAGTGCCAGGTACACTCCCGGACCCCGGGCCGGGTCCTCCCAACAGACCAGCCTATGCAACGCAGACCTAGCAACTCACAACAAGCTCTGCATGGAGTGGAAGGAGATCGCCTACCCTTCATTCTTATTTAGAAAAAAAAAAAAAAATCTTATTCCTTAGCAATTTAGAGAACAACTCTAGGTAAGTCATTTTGCTTTCATGAATTTTAATCTCATGATTCACATAATGGAGATAATAATAATGACACTATACTATAACCTAAAAGGGCTATTGTAATAATTGCTGTGGAAGCACCTATAAACTATAAAATTTGATATAGATCTTAGTTATCGACAAAACCCTGCTGTGTGACTGTACTTTTCCGCTTCTCCCTGTTTTATAGTTGGTTTAATATGCTAGGAATGGAAAGAGACACTGAGAGCAAAACAGACTTGAGAATGACCATGGACCATGTGAGCATTTTCAAATATATGATTAAATATTTGGATTGTCACAAACTTATCAGGGTCAATGCTTGACAGTACCTTTAAGGTGGTGCTACGTTTGAAAGTGCTTGGCACACTTTATCTATGTTAACAAGAAGGCCCCAGCTTCTGAGCATCCCCAAACCCTGGTGCTCCCCTGCCATTGGTAATAGAAGCCAAAAGAAGTGAACCTATGTAGAATGAACCAGTGTGCTCTAGGCACAGGACTCTATGCCTTCTCCAGAAAAGCAAGAATAAATGGAGCTCCATGGAGCCCTTACAACTGCCAGGCACAGAGACAACAGCTTTTTGTAGATTTTGTACTTAATTTTCATAAGAACCCTGTAAAGTAAGTACTATTTTCCTTGTTTTAGAGATGAGAATATTCTTATTTTCTAATAATAATTTTTTAAAAGGGGCAGAACTCATGACTGATCCCCAACTGGTTGTATTCAGTACACAGAGGCTATACCTTGTCAAGCACATTTAAGAGTAACATCAACCTATTAGTTGATTGGGTCTAAAGGTAGAGCCTCTGCCTGGACAAGAAGATTAAAAAGTAAAAACATAAAGCAGATAATTTTTCTGTTCTAGATCAAGTTTGTAAAAGGTGTGGTCAAGAGGTACCTCCTAGTCCCAGTTTCACAGAAGGGTGAGACAATCTTTCAGATTTAGTCCACTTCTCCTCTCCTTTACACTGAGACTTGTCCAAATGGCAGCTCCCTCATGAATATGTAAGTAGCACATACTCTCCCCAGTGTTTGTTTAAGTACATTATCAACTAATGCTGCATTCCTCAGTAACCTTTTGAAAATGCCCGAGTGAAGGATTTTTTTCCATTTGCAACATGCAGTCTTAATAGTCTGCAATACATTTTTGTTTATATATTTTATCCCACCAAATGAAAAGAATTTCGAGGAGTTAGTGACAGTTGAGGAAAATTTTACTTGTCTGGAGTGAATTCACTGCACTGAGCATTAGATGAACTTCACTTCAGCATTCATGGAGTTAAATTCTGTACCAGCATATACACAGGTAAGAACAGCATCATTCCAGGCTGTTGGAGAAGAGCACACAAATGCCACATCATATTCCTCTGTCCAAAAAACTAGAATGTGTGCTAATGAACAAGTGGGATCAAAGATGAAACCATAGGATTATTAAATTTGGAATAAAACTTTGATGGGATTTACTTATTTCATAACTTAGCCAGGAGTTCCATTTGCCTGAACATAACAGACATGTTTACCTAGTACTATTTGATAACTTGCCACAAATTTAGAAGCTTACCACAACATCCATTTATTATCTCTCAGTTCTATAGATCAGAAGCCTGGTGGTCTTGGCTGGGTCCACTTAGGGTCCCATAAAATCAAAGTCAGAGTGTCAGTTAGGCTGAGCTCTTATCAAAAAATCTAGGGAAGAATTTGCTCACAAGTGCATTCAAATTATTGTCAGAATCCAGTTCCTTTTACTGCTGGACTGAGGTCTCCCTTTTCTTGCTGGCTGTCAGCCAAAGGCCATTCTCAGTTCCCACAGACCACCCTCATTCAACATCATGTGGTTTGTTTCCTCCATCTTCAAGCTAGGAGCAGCACATGAAATTCTTGTGCTTGGAATCTCTCTGCCTTTCTCTTCTGCCACTAACAGGAGAAATCTCTCTGCCTTTAAGGGCTCATGTGATGAGATTAGGCATAGCTAGATAGCCTCTCTTTTAAGAACTTGTTTGGAGGTTCTAGCAGAGGAGCCCAGCTACTCATATACCCTTGACTGAGAAAACAGTGCTCCTCTATCTGGGCTGATTGTCCTCTTCGACTCAATTTAGGAGGGACACACATGGAGCAGAGAGGAAGAATCAAACAGCCAGATCAGCCAAATCAACCGTGGCAATCAATGAGGTGACAGATATCACAGCCAGATCACCCTCACATCTTAATCTCTCTTTTAAAAGGTTAACTATGCCTTATAACACAACATACTACAGATTATGGGTGTTTTGGGGCATGGAATCTTAGAAGATGATTTAGAATTCTACCTACTGCACCTACTGAATAGAATAAATAAAAACACTATTAGCTCCATATTCTCAAAAGAAAAAGATGTTGTAAGTAAACAAAACTTAATTAATTAATTAATTATATTAATTATATATTATATATTATAATTAGTAATTATATTCTTTTGGAAATTTCATGACTTGAAAATAATATGAGTAAGTAAATTTACAATGCTGTAAAAAACAGACATATTCATTTCAGGAAGCCTAACAGACATACTTTAAAAAATACTTGACTATAAGGGATTGTTTTGTGCCTTCAACACTTACATGTTGTCCTGTTTACAAGCTTTATTTTTTTTAATTGAAGGAATAAAAGGTCTTATGAATTCTCAGGGGACAGCTATACTTTAAGCCTATATATTATCTTTTTATGTTGGGATTTTTATTCATTACTTTATTTTTAATGGATACATAAAAACAAAATTATACACTCATGGGTTATCATGTTAATGCTCTGATACATGTATCAATGCATACATATGTACTGCATAATGTTTAAGTTAGGTTAAACATATGTGTCTCCTCATTTATCATTTCTATTTTAAATTTTTATTTTCATTAGTACATTTTTATTACATAATGATTACATTCATCATGGGGAGTTGGTACATATATGTAACACATCTCAATTCTTTTTACTTATCATTTCTTTATGGTGAAAACCTTCAACATCCTTTCTTCCTGCCTTTTGAAATGTACAGTACATTACTGTTCTCTATAGCCACCCTACTGTGGGATAGAATACCAAAATATCTTGCTCCTATCTAACTGTAACTTAGTACCTACTGATCAGCATTTTTTTTACACCTCTGTCACCTCTCCTACTCTCCCCTAGCCTCTGGAAACCACCATTCTCCTCTCAACTTCTATGAGATCCACTTTTTAGGATTCCACATACAGTACTATATGAGTGAGATCACACAGTACTTGTCTTTCTGTGCTTGGCTTATGTCACTTAATGTAATGCTATCCAGTTCCATCCATGTTGCCACAAATAATAGGATATCATTCATTTTATGGAAAAATAATATTCCATTGTGTATTTATCTACATTTTCTTTACCTATTCATCATCTGATGGACACTGATTTTGGCCATTCACTATTGTGAATAGTGCTGCAATGAACATGGGAGGGTAGAACTTTCTTTAACATACTGATTTAATGACTTTTTAATATATACTCAGTAGTAGGATTACTGGATCATATGGTGGTTCTATTTTCCTTTTTTGAAGAAGCATTTCTCCTTAATGGCTGTAGTAATTTACATTCCCCAAAAGAGTGTGAACATCTTTCTTTCCATATCTTTACCTGAATTTATCTTAAATTTTTTTATAATAGCCATTCTTATGGGGGTGAAATGATATCTCATTGTGGTTTTGATTTGCATTTCTCTGATGATTACTGATGTTAAGCATTTTTTTCATGTAGCTGTTGGGCATTTGTATGTCTTTTGCAAAATTTCTATTTAGATCTATTGCCCATTTAAAAATCATTTCTTAGTACATGTTAGCAGTAAATGCAGTTTATAATCATCTTGAGGAGTAGGTACATGTACAAAATACAACTTTTTTCTTTTTTAAAAAAACAATTTAAGGGCCGGGGATTTAGCTCAGTGGTTCTTCCGCCTGCCTCGCAAGCATAAGGACCCTAGTTTGATCCCGGTACCAAAAAAAAAAAAAAAAAAATTTAAAAGTGACCTTTTGTAATTGAGTTTTGGTTCCTTAAATATTCTGGATATCAATCCCTTGTCAGATGTATTGTTTATAAATAATTTTTCCCATTCTATAGGCCCTATCTTCACTCTATTGTTTACGATAGTCTATCTCCGCTTAGGCCTATTAACACTTGCTTTATATATACTAGTCCACCAATATTGGGTGCACATCTATTTAGTATTATTATGTCCTTTTGATGAACTGGCCTTCTTATCATTATATAAAGACCTCTTTTGTCTCTTTTTACTGCTTTTGATTTATTATTTTATCTGATAACAGTATGGCTATCTTGCTTCTTTTGGATTTTATTTGCATGGAATAGCTTATCACATCCTTTCACTTTCAGTCTATAAGTGCCTTTTGAAGTGAAGTCAGTTTCTTGTAAGCAACATAAAGTTGGATCTTACCTTGTCTATTTAGTCACTCCATGTCTTTTTTTGCGGGGAGCACCCCAGAAATGGAATTCAGGACCTTGTGCTTGTCTGGAAGGCATGGAGCCACTGAGCTACATCCCCAGCCCCTCACTCTATGTCTTTTAATTGGAGAATATATTTATATCCAAGGTAGTCATTGATAGGTAAAGTCTTACTACAATCATTGTATAACTTGTTTTCTAATTTTGTCTTTTTCTTTCTTCTTTCTTTCTTTCTTTCTTTCTTTCTTTCTTTCTTTCTTCCTTTCCTCCTTTCTTTCTTTCTTCCTTTCTTTCCTTTTCCCTCTCTTACAGGCTTCCTTTGTAATAAAAGTCTTACTCCAGTAGTGTGTTTTAATTTCTTGCTTATTTTGGGGGGTTTGTGTATTATAAGTTT